AGCCTTCTTGTGGAGTCAAGTTCATTTACAATAAGAACTTAATTCTTATAATACATATAATACAATTATATGTGCTAGGCTTCTGCACAGAATTAGACCTGTTAAGGTCTTAGAATACATCTGCATGACAATGCAATTTATTTATCTGTGAAAATAAAGCATTGCCTAACAGCAGCGGAATTCAATCTTTGTTTTGTTTTTTTTAATTTCAGTCCATCCTGCATCTGATGAAAACTTAGGCATAAATATAAGGTATACATGCCAAGCAAAGTGTGGGTTTTCTTCAATGGTATTGTTCCTCCGGCAGATACTTTTAATCCAGATGAACTTTCTATATGTCTAGCCTGCCTATGTATTCTCCTATATCTGCTCTGGAAGATTGAGAAGATTGTCCCAGATAAAACAGATATGGATGGGTGAGAGGGAGGAAAGAGTGTAATAAGAGGTTCTGTTGCGCAAATGGAAATCTACTGATTTAATGCTGGACACAGCTATTTCATAGATAATATTTTTGTCTTCATTATACCAAATGAAATTTATCTCAAAAATGAATTTCCACTGTGTAGAATAAGCAATTTGTTACTTATATTTTTATTAAGTCTGGCTTGTTTAAATCTAATCCATAAGTTATTATTACAACGTTTTGGATTTCAAACTGTACTTCTCCTAAAACTCATCATGAATTTAACAGCAAATTAAAAAATAAGTGTTTATTTATTTTCATTTATTATGATAGATAGATAGAGATTCAATAGATAGATGGAGATACGATAGATAGATGGAGATGAGAGAGAGAGAGAGAGAGATTCCCCAATACAAACTGTTTTGAAACATAGCAAAACTTATTTTAGGTAACAAAGGTTTACTTTCCATTTTTGTCCATATCTGTGCAAGTTACTAGTATTCATTCTTTTGCTTCTTTAGAAAAAAAACATACAAGCAGAATCTTTTAGCTAGAAATTAACATAGTGCTAATCTATAAGTGTCTTCTCAAAAGAAAATCAGTGGATTTATTCCCATGTAACTGTGCATAATACTGCATAGTCTTAAGGCTATTATTATTTATACCTTTTACAGTTTTACTAAATTATAATTCCAAATTATCTGTCTTCCTAAGGTCTCTACTGTTATGCAGTATAACCTCTGCATTTATGACAGTCCTTTGAGACTGCAATAAATGCACACAATTATTCAAGATTATTCTAGCCATTAAGTTACAATATTTTATCGCTGTAATTTTGAATGGATATATTTCTTCTCTACAAAGTAAATTAACTGAGCATCTTCTTTTCTATTCAGTAACAGAGAAAAATGTTTTCTCTAGTTCCCACCAAATAAAAAACAAGATAAGGAAAATAAGATAAACCAGATAAAGAAACAGTCTTTCATTCATTCAAAACACCTGAGTAGCAATTGCGTATTCTAGAAATCACTGAGATTCTCCCCTTCTCCCCCGAATTCCTGAAAGATTAAGTCAAATACCTAATTTGTTCCCTGGCCGCCAAACAGATTGATTCTGGCAAATTATCCTCCTTGTATTCATCTAAAAATCTTGAACTTTATAAAATTATCTGGCCAATCAGCATACAGAATGTTTACTGTTAAAGTATCTGTTTATCCTGGGGAATTCCCATGGGGACATAAAGCCTTTGGTAAGCTATATCAACAATCCTGCAAGTAGGAAACCTTTCCTGTGACATCTTCCCTCCACAGGAGTGCTTTGAAATGTTTGTCATGAAAGGATATGTATGACAAGTGTTACACCAGTATGAATCCTCTACATGGATTTGCTGGAACTGCCTTTGGGTTGGGGTACCTGACTCAATTCACACGGATTCTGTATTCTTTTTTGCGTATTAAGTGAACTCTTTCAAACAACTTGCTGAGTTAAACAAGAGCTAAACAAAACAGCAAAATATCAAAGTACTCTAAATAAAACAGCAACTTGTGAATCTTGGGAAGCCTTCTGCATATACATCCTGGTCTAATTCTTTCCAGATTTTTTCCCCTTCTTCCTGGCATGTATTTAAAAATTTTCATCAGTTTGAGACTTGCTCCCTAGAAAACAGCAATGTAGCAATACAATAAGTATTGAAGCATAAATATTTGGCTCACTAAAAATAACATGTACAGATTATATAGTGGAAGACTATTTTTCTTCAAAATCAAAACATCAGTAATGCAGGGTAAAGAATCAATGATAGTCCATTTGCATTAACATAAGTATCCTACCATAGCAACACTTTGCTGAAGAAACATCAGCAGCTTAACATCTTTATGTGATGTTTCTTCTCATTGATATCGTCTTATACAGATTTGCAAATGTGTTGTAGTTTGCAAATGTGTTGTAGTTTGCATAGTCAGAATACTATGTTCCTGACATCAATATTTAATACCTTAACAAAAGCATGATATATGTTCATGTTTGTTCTGATATTACTAATTCCGATAACTCAGGATCCAAAGATCTCCTGAGAAGATATGCATTTCCATATGGACAGTGAAGCCCCCTGTTTTTTCTTCAGAAAAAGTATTTTGGGTTTTATTTTAGGTAACACTCAAATATCCCCTGAGTTTTGCTGGTGCTTCATCATGTGATGTGGTATGACTGGAGGCACCAGTCACACGTTTTCTGGCATTTATGAATATTCCACACAGCTCTATTGGAATCTGAACCAACATCCTTAACTCAATGCTATGCTTTCAAATGATGCATTGCACTAAGATTTCATTCTAATATCCATACACTATTTTATTTTAGGAAACTAGGCATATAGTGCTCTAAACATGCTTACCCGAAAATATATCTTTCATTGATCTTAAGAGACCTTACTTAGAAGCCTTACATGTTAAAATCATTGGAATACCCAAGACCAATATTTTCAAGACCATCATAAGAGTGTTGAAATATTTTAAGGAACCTATTTATTGTTTTGGAACCAAGGTAACAATGACAGCAAAAGTCATATCATTGACAAATCTATGAAGTGTTAATATTTAGGTTGAAGCTTTTTCATTCAACAAGATTATTGCTTTTAAAAAATGATAGGCTCACCCACAGAAATAACTCTCTTTAAAAAGAGGTTTTTGGCATTGACCATAAGAGAAAAATATGATCCATAAGAGTAGACATAGATATTTCAGGCATTTGGGAAACAACTGGCCAAGTCTTTACGATTTAATCATTGTATAATTTAATTAATGTTTTCTTCATTATAAGACTGCTACACAGTGAAACTTTGTCCATATATATTCTTGCCCGAAACAGTTACATGTTCACTTTTCAAAAAGAATAAAAAGTTCACACTGGATAAAGTGCTTTAAAGCCATGGACACAGGATATGCTACCTTAGATGGCTTCTTGAAACAGAAACATAAGAAAATATAAAGAAAAAACATTTGCTGCCATCCCTTTTCACCATAAAGTTAAGCATAGTTAAAATATTTATCAAAGTTTTCTACAAAAGAATGGAACACTAGGCAGTGCTTGAACCCTTTGCTATGAACTTCTGTAGAAATCTAATAAATAAATAAAGCAAAGGTGTTTCCAACTGCCTTGCAGATTAAATTATCAATCGTTTTGCTTTCTTTTCTCTTGTAAAATGTTTAGGCAGTGAATCAGGCCTCTAGCTATGAACAATTATATTTAACCAAAGATGCAAATTCAGTGTTGTTGTTGTTTTTTCAATCATATGATAAACACACACACACACACACACTAATCTACAGGATAAATACAAAGCACGCTGTTTTAAACCAACAACTACTTACAATAGTGGGATTATTCTAAGAAAGTGGTTTCTGCACTGTTCCTTTGCAGATCTAAGGCTGCCTCTGTTTTACCCTTGTTTTAATCCTTATTTTTAAAAATGCAGAATTGTTTTCATTAAATCAGTTTCCAGAACCTACATTACTGTTTTATGGTTAGAAAGTTATTGAACATGACCCCAGTCTACTGTTAGTCTACCTCCTGAAATTAGGTAGGTATATACCTTTACACAGTTCAGGTCCACAGAAACCCAGCTTTGCATGTGAAAATCGAAAGGGCATTAGTGTCAAAAGCACTTGCTTCTAAAATTAAGGGGAAATACTGAAACTGGTTAGCAAATCCAATTTTAACAGAGTCTCCAGCAATTAGCAGCTTTTTATGTTTCACATAAACCATGTCCAGTCCTGTGGGCTCTTCAGCTTTCCTACCCACCTATTTATGATTGTTCTGTCAGCCGGAACTATCACAAATGCGAATGAAGTTGCAGAAGGGGAGAAAAACTGGTTTACAGGCACCAATTTGATAGAAAACATTCTGTAAATATTAAAGGTTTCCTTAAGGGCTCCACATTTCATAGTGACCGCCTGCTGTTAAACACGGGGTGAAAGTGGATGGGTGGAAGAAGGTGATGAGTTTTCACACCCTGTGCTGTTCTGGTCCAGGTGCTGAAATGCCCCCAAGAGAGTCAGCACTGAAAGCAGAAGACGATCCAGGGAGGAATACTTGGAAGGCGCAATGTGGGAATACCTTTCTCAAAGCGGGTGCTTGGAAGCCTGTACCTGGAAACCTTCCTCAGGTAGCAAAAGGGTGACCCTCTCCTTGTCACAGCTGCTTCTCCTCCATCGGAGCCAGGGAACACCAAGCCCCGCACTAATTAACTGCCAAACCCGGCCAATCGACAACCCAGCATACCCCAACCGTACTAATTTCCCCCCACGGTGCCATCAGCAATTCACCAGAAGAGCCTCATTTATCACTCGCTGCCCGGACCCGCACACAATGGGGCTTACTCCCAGGTAAGTGTGCCTAAGGTTGCCGTCTTCCGCCAGCTTCGAACAATGCACTGCGGAGCGCCTTCAAAAACTGCACCAGAGAGAAACAGACGCCTCTTTGCAAGCATCACAGACACAGACGCAAACGCGCGCGCACAGCTATACGTACCCACACGCGCACACACACACACACACACAAACACACACCCCAACCCCAAAAGTGTATCCGTACTCCCAACCTTCAAGCGAAGCCAGGAAGAAGCTCAAACTGCACGGGTTGGGCCACGGGGCGACCCAGACCTACTGCCCCTCTTCCTCCGGACCCTCACGCGAGGCAGTTCCAGCTCAAAGTCCAGAGGGTGGGCAGGGCGAGGGGCTCTGTAGCCTCTGGCTGCCCTCGCTCGGCTGCCCGGCTGCCCGGCTGCCCGGCT